GTTGGCAATATGATAGTTCAATAATAATAATTTCCAGGTTAAAGAAAAGGTCACCATAATATCTAAAACAAATATATGCTAGACTAATCTGAAAGTTCCCAAACATTCTTGGAACAGCACTGGTGGCCCAATATTTTTTTATAGGACCCTTGGGATAAAAGAAATATCCAACCACTCATTGTTATTAAGTAGTAAAGTTCAAACAACTTAAATATGATAGTTTACATACCGTCAGAGAGATGCCTCTGTATTTTCTTTGAAATTTTAAAATATTCCATGTGTGTCCATGAATTAGTTCCAGTACCCTGGGAACCCTGGTACACAATCTGTGAACCATAGCACTAGGCATGTTCCTATCTAATGGGAGAGATTCTATATCTATAGCTGTGTGATGCATTCACACAGCTACATATAGTATATGTAGAAAATGGGATATTTTATTGGGTTTTTACTTTCTTGAAGTTTTTTTTTAATTTCTACATAAAATGTTTCCTTGTCAAAATTTCTAAAGCACCTAACTATAACAATTATATGGCTGGAAATTTTACACCCATACAGGAAGAACAGGGAGGGGCAGAGGGCTGAGGGCATCAATATGTGAAGAAGCTATGTGTTGGGGAAAGAGAACCAAAGTCGGAGTCAGAGAAAATGGTATGGACCAAACTGATGCCCTTCAACCATCTTATCTTAGAAGTCCCTCTCAAATCTAAAATGTTGAGAAAACACCAACATGCACATTCAAAGTTAGGTCCCTCTCTTTAAAATAGAATTTTTTTTTCCCAAGATGAGCAAACATCACAGTGGTATCTTCCCTACAACATAAAAATTGTTTTGCAGGTATCAAAGGCACTTAACTTTTATTTCAAAAATATGTGCCTATACAAGCTCCACAGTGGGCACGTAGATGTCTGGCTAACTGGATTCCACTTAGACTTTCCAGAAGCAGCAAATTAATATGTTCTTGGATGTTTCAACCATGCAAAGTGTACTTGGACCACTTTGTTTTGTACACCAGTTATTTTATAAATAAGAATTGAAGACTTACTTAGTTTTTAAAAATTCATTTCAAAGGCTGTCATGATTGTTTTCTGATAAAAATGAACACCCACAGAGAAAATTTAGAATTAGAATTTTAAATTTTTTATGGAAATATGTGTTTCCATAGAGTAACCTATATGACTGGGTTTAATCAAAAATATAATTGACAAGTTAAAAATACAGATTATTTGGCCAAATGTTTCCTTGAATATATTAGTCCCTGAATGGAGTGAAATGATCAAACCAGTGATTTTACATAATTATTTTCAAGGTCTCTACATGTTTGTGCATGTACGTGAACACACATGTGAGAGAAACAGACAGGAGGGAAATAATTTATTAATATACTACTATTTTTACTTCCTCAAAAGTTTGCAAGTAGTTTTAGATTTTAAGAAATAAGTAGCATAAGCAGTAATAGTATATACATCCATAATGTATATTTTTGTGTTTGATTTAACTAATTCCAAATGTCCAAACAGAATCTGAGATTCTGACTTTAATATCTCAATATTTATGAATATTCACAGACAAGAGTAGATTCTAACATTCTTTAAAGCTTCTTTTCTAGTATCTAGTCAGTTTTCTCTGAAGTCTCTGGGTGTGTTACCATTAATTTATTCTAATATTGCTTACAGATGTCCCTTCTAGCAATTAAGAGAGACCCCACAACTATATTTTGTGCACCTCTATTCCACATCATGTTTTCCACCATTATTTTTCTTAAGGGAATAATCTCTCTAAGTCCAACTAAAAGTTTCTTTTTCTGAAAGTATAATATGTTGACTCAATCTACATTGATTAGGTTCCTCAACCTGTGCTTTTAGTTTATTTCTTATTTGCTGGGAATGCAGAAAGTAACCTATTTAATTCCAGAGATTTTTATTTACTTTATGTATTTTTATCGGGACACATACTCCAAATAAGAAAATCTATCATCAATATGTTCTATGAATGGATTGATAAATAAGACCTCTGAGTTTTTGTTACTTGACACTAACAGCAAGAAGGGTTGTTCAGTCTTTGTCATTGAGAACTATATAACATCACTCAATTAAAACAACAAGCATCCAGAGAAATCAGGCTGACAATTACTGCAGGAATGAAACAGGAAGTCCCACTGAAGAAAGGAGATGTCAAGATTTACTTCCCTCCCTCTCATCCCTTCCTGTACTGGGATTAGAAGGAAGAGAGTGGTCTATTTATTTACTTTTTCTACCCAGCTCCTCATTTAAACTGCCTCAAAGTGTCACAGGATCAATAAGGGTGGCACTTTCTTTTGCTTCTGGTTTCTGTTTAATTCGAGAGTTTGGCATGATGCCAGTTTCAAGCTTGCCAGTGGTGGTAAAAAAAAAAAAATTCTCTTTTACTATCAAGATTATAAAAGAAGTGATAACATTGATAATTTTTTTAGACACTGAAGATATGACTATCAAATGGTTAATATACTAACAGTTTTTAAAAGGATGAACTTTTCTCCAAGCCACATTTCATTAATACTGAACAAATTCAGCACTCCTGCTCTGTCAAATGGGAATGAGGGACTGCTGTTCTTGACCTTTTCCTGGCCTACAGTTATGCTATTGTTCATACTCAATGTGTTATTCTCTTCAGCACAATATTTGCTAATGGAACTTGTTTCTGCAATTATTTTAAAATTTTTTTAAAAAAAAGAGAACTAGTCTATATGTATATATTGCAGGTGCAGTCTGAGGCAACCCAGGATTTTTTAAAATGTCTTTTTAGTTGTTGTTGTTCATTTTAGTAACCAAGGTTACCAAAAACACTTTGGCAACATGTGTTTAACGTGAAAAGTAATCCCTTAGGAAAATGGAAACAAAATTAAAAAAAATCTTTTATGATTAAAAACTCAGAATTCAGTGTAACACTAGATTTTAAAGTTCCATTTGTAGAATTTAAAGTATATAGAATAAATGTTTCTTTAACTGTTTAAATATTTTGGTGCTTCTGGATGAACTGATGATTAACGAAGTTAGAACACTGGGAATTAACATCAAATAAACAAATTAAGGGTTCAGAATGAAACACAGTTTTAAAAGATCAAAAACAATACAAGTACATATTTTTATAAGTCTTAAGTTCCAATCACTTTTATTTTAACCCCAGAATTGCAATCTATTCATACTAAATGACTGTATGGTTTAAAAGTCACATCCTGTTTCTCCAATATGATATTGAAAACAGTTTAAAGACTGGGAATAACTATTAATATCCAAGGTGAAAAAATTCAAACATCACCCAGTATGAAACTTAGAATTGATTTTTAGTAATGCTAGGCAGAGTTTCATTGCAAGAAATGAATGGGAAAGTTTAGTAACATATATATGAGCTAGGTTCAAATAGCATTTAAAAATAATATTCTACATAAATTTCTAAATTGCTAATATTTCACTGATATTTTTCAATGGTGTTCTACACTTATCAATGAAAATACTTCAGTAAACTTGTTTTTTCTATATTTATTCTGGTCATAGTAATGATGATGTTTTAGAAAATATTTATTTTAGAAGTCTAGTCTCTCTTTGGAATATGAGTTACAATTTTTATCTAATAGAATTCAGGTTGTATTTGGCTATTTATAATTTTAAAGATGAAGTCTTAGTTTGTTTACAAACTAGCAAAGTGCAATATAGATTTGGGTAAAAAAAAAAGAGGAAAAGGCATATAAATTATATACATCTAAAGTTAGCAAGTAATACAGTTACCTTGGTGAAACTTCTTAGTGCATAAATGTTCTCTGTCTTGCTTGTAATAAGTGTTCATTCACTCTGATATGGTTTGAATATGAAGTGTCCCCCTAAAAAAGCTCCTATGTTGGAAACATGATATGCAATGTAGGAATGTCCAGAGGTGACATGCTTAGATTATGAAAATTGTAAACCCTTCAGTGGATTAATCTATTTGATGGGTTAATAATTTGAATGTACTGCTGGGCGGTACCTGAAGGCAGGTGAGCATGGCTACAGCTAGAAAATTAGGTTACTAGGAGGGGCATGCACTTGGGGATTACATTTTGTCCCTGTTTCCTTTCTCTCTCTCTCTCTCTCTCTCTCTGCTTCCTGGCTGCTATGAGTTGAGCATCTTTCCTCCACTATGCCCTTGTGCCACGATGTTGTGCCTCACTCAGACCCAGTACAATAGAGTTGGTCCACTGTAGACTGAACCTCTGAAACCAGGAGCCCAAAATAAAATGTCCCTCCTTTAAGTTATTCTTGTCAGGTATTTTGGTCACTGTGTAAAAAAACCTGACTAACACATTTTAAAAATAGTTGACTATTATGCTCTAAGTTGAAATACAGCAATGAATAAAATAGAATAAGCAAGTACCCTTGCAAACCTTACAATTAAAATGAAAGAAGAAACATGCAAGGATCCAAAGGAATCGTGGGAAAGAGACCTAGCCGACATCAGGCAAACACTCCTCAATCTGATATGCAAGAGGTTCAGGACACCACGGAGTGTAAACACTCCTGATGTATGTCCAGAAGGAATATGGTTTGTTCTACGAACTGAAAGAAGACTAGTGAGAAATTTGACTGTGAATATACAGGGGAGACACATGATGCTGGGCCAAGTAACTTACATTAACAGTTTGGATTTAGCTTACTGGGCAATAGACAACTATTGAAAAGCATATTCTCATTGTATTTATGAAAAAAATAAGACAAACCTCCAAATTACATTCATATTTTAAGATTATATTGGAAATAGAACATATGAAGCTAAATTATAAAGTGCTAGTATTGGCTTCAGAAACAAAAAATAATCTAAGTTTTCATAAATACCAATACAATTCTTTTCCACACTGTCTATGTGTTTCCTCTTCAAAATAAAAATACTATATAGGAGATCCCATTTCTTGGTGTAACGGTAATATTAAATTGCCCAAGTCAAAGACATGCCCTGTACCCATTCCCAAATTAAAAATCAATGGTACTTACTGCATCCAGCCTTATAGCTGAAGCCTGGAGGGAGGAGGAATCCTTGTTGGGCAGCTGCAGCCAGTGTCCGTTGATCAGGAGGGAATACGGGGATCATTAATGGCGGCAGCTGACCTTGAACCTGCTGAACGTGATAGAGCGAATCAAAGAGTAGAAGTTTTGGTGCTCCATACTTCCCACCCTCCTTATTTCACAACCAAACAAAACAGAATTAAAATAATCAATTCTTAAGAGTCACATAATATTGAAAGTTTACAATTTGTGAATAATAGACCTGGAAAAAAATTCAGAGAACAACTAAAATGTTCCACTTTCTTTCAGAGGAGACAACTGGTGCCTAAGAAAATTGACTTCCCCATGGCCACAGAGTTAGTCAAAACCAGGTCTATATCCAGTCCCTGGAATCCTGCCACAGACCGTATGTATTATGCTTTTGACTTTTTGAAACAACTGAACCACTCCTTGAACCACATGAATTCTGCCATCTTTGTAATGTGCTCTAATTTGCTGGAGTCCCTTCTCAGAGTATAGGGTTCAGTTCATACCAGTTAATAAATAACCCAGCACAATGGAATTACTGACTTCTTTGAACTGAATAAGAATTTTAGAAACATAAAGCAATGCAGTAATTTCTGCAGCTATGTCCCCCTATTGACTAATGGGGTAATTGTCATTTACTAGAATACCGAGGATTATTCTTTTCAAATAAATATTCAAGTAAGATCTCCCTGGTGAACATGATTATTGGCAAGTGTTTGTCATTGGGTATGTGAATGAGAATTTAGGATCATATTAAAATCACATATCTGACACTTCATTCCCCTTTACTAATCCTTCCACACATTGGAAGTTATTTGGAAATTATGTAATAAGTGCCTTCTTTGTGTAAGAAAATGAGCTAGGCATCAGGGATATGATAGTGAATAAGACAAACAATATACAGGTCCATGAAGCTTTAATTTTAGTAGGGGATATTGGTTAAAAAAAAGTAAAACACACAAAAATAACTACATTTGATTCAGAGAGTAATACAAACAACGCCTCTCAGACCTGTTTCTCATTGGCATTACACGTTCCCAGCTTTTTTATGAATCTTCTAGTTCTCATGTCCCACTTTAAAAGTCCACCTCCAGTTTCTCCTTCATTTCATCTTTCACAATCAAACAGCTATTTTCGAGACTTAGGTTGGTGAATGTGTGGAGTGGGGGAGGGCCTTGGAGCAGGTGGTGAAAGAGGAAGGGAAAGGGGGGGAAAGAAAGAGAGACTGTAAGAATGGGAGACCTGTTTTCAATAATGACTCCAAATTGTTAATCATCCTTTTGAGAAAGGGTTTTCCACCTCTCTCTGCCACTACAAAGGAAATGACGCAGGGGATGAAACTCTAATGGAAATGACAACAACTAGGGAAACAAAAAGATGGTGTTTTATGGTTAGAGATGAAGTTTGTACCACTACAACCATCATTTTAGGATACCAGGGAAGAAGGCAAAAGCTTATGGAGAAACCAACTAAGGAGGGACTCCAAGATTAGAGAATGTATGTTGAGCAAGTAGGAGGAATGAGTAGCCTAAAGCAAGAGACAGATATCATAGGGTGAAATGGCACTGGGGCTGGTTCAGCCTGAGCAGAGGATGCAGGCAGAAACACATAGCAAAGGAACAAACAACAAACCAGCCACACTGGTTCAGGGCAATGGCCAGGGACTACATCTTCTTCATATTTCATACAACTCTAAGTTGTATAGCTTATATAGCTTGTCTCCTCATTTCTAAGACCCCATTGGTTATAATATATATCATAAACTTTATAAGAGCCTTTTGGAGAGAAGAAGGAAAGGGAACCTCAAACGAAATATATACAAGGGTGGGAAGAGGCTTCCATATTCCAGGTTATATTGAAATTTAAGGTAAACTATGTTCAGAATTGCAGGAACAATAGATTCATCTTTTAGCATACCAGTTCTTAAACTGGAAAATATATAGCAAGCTTTGAGAAATCCCAATGCCCAGAATCCTTCCCAAACCTAATAAATCTGAATCTCCAAGGTTAAGATACAGCCATTGGCCTATTTTAAGTCTGATGATTCCAGTGGGCATCCAGGGTTGAGAAGCACTGTTTTAAAGAATGTTTTTGGTTTCTGTCAACAAATTGTTTTGTCCTTTACAAAGCACCTCTAGCTATATAATAGTGGAAAGGGAGACTCTCCCTGATTCTGGTACCCATAAGAATAGTAATTAAAAGTTTCATTCCTCATAAATTTCTTCTATATGAGTCTGGAATCTATATTTTATATTCCCTTCTTGTTTTAAAATCTTTTGATGGTTTTCTTTCATCTGGGAAAAAATGAAAAAAATCCTCAGCATGGTATTCAAGATTCCTCACAATTTCTCCACAATTCATTTTTCTTCTGGCCCCTTCACATATCCTGCAGTGTTGCCCCAGTGGATCATTAAAAGTCCCTTGCATTATCTACCTTCTTCCATGCCTGAGTGCATTTGATGGTACTTTTTTTTTCTGATTTTAAGTAATTCCTCATTTGCTTTTCTTCCTGGAAAAAGAATGTGTTCATTCTTCAAAGACTTTTGAGGCTCATAATGTAAAGCACTTCCATGGTTTCAACTTACAGGCAGAAAGAGCTGTTCTTACTTTTAATTTAATAAAATGAATATAATGCTTGTTGTGTTGAATAATATTTATACAGCATTGAGTCTCTTCTGTGACCTTTAAGTACATTTAGGAAAAAAAGCTATAACTTGTTGCTTAATATATATTTAGAGTTTAGCAGTTATAGCTATGACATGTACCAACAAACTATAAATAAAGAAGCTGAATGGATAAAATAGTTTCATCATCCTAGTTAGATCTTCAGGCACCAACTCCAAATGTCCACAAAAGGCCCTAGAAAATTTAAGTTATCTAACAACCAGAAAGGAGTATATATTCACCAGAGAAGTACAGCACATAAAGTCCCAGTTGCTTTGTGATCCTACCCTTCAATTATGTCTAAATGGTCTTAAATATCATGATATGCCTATGACTTTTGAATGATGTATGCATGAACAAATATAAAAGCAACCCAGAAATATTAGAACTTTATTATATACTTTTTTAATGGACAGATATTCCTGCCTATCATGTTCTAGTACCATGCTGTTGTAAATACCATAGCTTTGCACTGTATTTTAATAATGCATAAGGCTAGTATTATATCATTACTACTTTTTCCAAAATATTGCCTGGATTTTTTCAATTAATTTTAGAATATTAGGTAAACAAAGAAATTTATTAATTTAAAAATGTTTGGATGACCAAGAAGGTTATGTGTTTCAATTTATTCTAGTCTCCATTTATTTTATATTAACTAAGAAGTTTCTTGGTAATTTTATTTCTAAGGTTCTTTGTCTTATAAAAAGCGTTTTATTAGCATTGCACAGGAAATTTTTCTTAATTTTATTGTTTAATTGGTTATTTGTATATGGGTATACTTGTGAATGACAGTTTTGTCCAGTTAGTTCATGTATGACTTTATATATTTATAACTTCATAATTTAAAATTTTCAGATACAAATTTTAGTATATTAATGAATAAGCTGCAATAAATTTGGGAGCTTTTATTAAACCTGTATGGTTTAAGCTCTTATCTTTATAAATTAAATTACTGGGTGCATTTTGTTTTAATAATACAACCCACTTTAACGTCTAAATTTTTCAACAATGACATGTAGAGGTAACACAGTTTAAAGCACAGAAAGACTCTAGAGCTTATATGAAGCAATGTTGTCTTTGTGCTGATAATGAAATAAAACCCAATTTGATCAAATTAATTGTCCATGATCCTACATTTAGGGAAAGCAAGGTTACCATTGGAACTACATTTTCTAATTTGTACTCTAGCACTTTCCCCTGCATAGTAGAAAATGTAAGGGACGAGCAGGGGAGAAAAAAAATGTGCACTAAAAGGAGAAGCAAGGGGAAAAAGGAACTAAAATGAAAAATTACACTAATTTCACAGTCCTAACAATAGCTTTTGTTTAGACTATTTTTAGATTCTAGTATATTGTACTATTAATAGTCGGAACAAAGTAAACAGTAAAATAAATATAATCCAAAATATGTGGTTAATCCATATCTGTAATTACAAATATACATCTCAAAATAAAGTCCTAATTATTTGCAGATTGTGCATTTGTAAAATTGCCTATTTGATAATATTTACTTGTACTCTAAAAACAATACTAATGGTGCTTTCATGGTCACTTGCAGACCTGTGAAGAGCAGTGAAAAACTGTATTGATAATCCCACTGTTTGAAATGCTCGTAAACCTGTGCTAACATGCAGTCTAGTGTTCTGAAGTGTAATGTACACTGTGAAAAGTGGACATGTTAGGTAAGCTTCATCCAGACATGAGTTATAGTAAGGTTAGGTGTGAATTCAGTGTTAAAGAATTGGTAATAAATATTAAATGAGCTGACTTGAAACAGTAACATACATGAAACAAGGTTATGGATGGATTGGCTGATGAAAATGTTATGAGCAGAGGCTCAAAGAAACCTGTAAGTCTCCAGTAGGAGGAGGTGTTCAGTATTCATTCATTCAGTGTTCATGGCAACATTATAACCATAACTAACAGAAATAATGACAACAACTAAAATTTCTTTTTTTTTTTTTTTTCTCTCTACTTTCTTCCTTCTTTTCCTACTCTGGGTTGTTCTGAAGCAAATCCTAGCCATATTATATCATCTGTGAATATTTTTTTTATTTTTTTTTTAATTTTTTATTGTTGGCTGTTCAAAACATTACATAGTTCTTGATATGTCATATTTCACAATTTGATTCAAGTGGGTTATGAGCTCCCATTTTTACCCCATATACAGATTGCAGAATCACATCAGTTACACATCCATTGATTTACATATTGCCATACTAGTGTCTGTTGTATTCTGCTGCCTTTCCTATCCTCTACTATCCCCCCTCCCCTCCCCTCCCCTCCCATCCCCTCCCCTCTTCTCTCTCTGCTCCCTCTACTGACATTCGTTTGTCCCCCTTATATTATTTTTCCCCTTCCCCTCACTTCCTCTTGTATGTACTTTTGTATAACTCTGAGGGTCTCCTTCCATTTCCAT